GTGTGTGTGTCCGGCAAAAACAACCCCCTACCTCCTCGTGGTGCGGGATGGCAACATTGTGGTTGGCCGTGCCATGGAGGGAGGGCCAACTTAAATTGGCCATTCCCCTCATGGCGTCTGTAACCACCACAGTGGCCAAATAGGGGCTCTGGATGGGTGCGAGGGGCTGGTATCCCCTCCACCTTCAATTAATTACCACTAAACTACGAGTAAAATAAATGCACTAAGCTCATGCCGGAGGCCCCGTGTGGACAGGCGTCTATGACGTCTCCTGGCTATACCCCATTTGGCGGAGCGAGGAGACTGAATCCTTACCCTCGGGGCTCCTCGAGAAACAACAAAAAAACACTACGTGTGGCCACGTGGAATGTTCGAACGCTCACTGCGGAGGAGAGGCTACCACTCCTCTGTTGGGAGCTGGACCAGTACCGCCTGGATCTCTGTGGTATTCAGGAGGTCCAGTGGACCGGCTCTGGCTCCTGCCACCATGAGGGGTGGACAGTCCTCCACTTGGGGCAGGAGACTGCCAAACCACAGTGAGTGGCTCTTCTTGTGAACACAAGAATGAAGGGGGTGTGGGAGCATGGCGGCGAGTTGTGGGAAGCTGTAAGCCCCAGGCTACTTTGGACTCGCCTTCCCATCAAACAGAGGTGAGCAGTGGTGGTCATGGTTACTTATGCCCCCACGGAAGACGAACATCCGTTGAGGGATGCAGGCAAGGCCGATGAGTCAGATGCCTTCAATGACCTCCTGTCACAGGTGCTACCTAAAGTGGCCCCTCGGGATAGAGTCATCCTGTTGGGTGACTTCAATGCCCGAGTTGGTCATGATGCTGGCACCTGGTCTGGAGTTATTGGAAGGCATGGGCCAGATCAGCTCAATTACAACCGCAGGAGGCTGCTAGATTTTTGTGCAGCCCATGGGCTTGTAATTACCAACACGCTGTTCTGGCATCGGCGCATCCACACAACATCATGGATGCACGCCAGGTCCAAACAAGAGCATCTAATCGACTACATAGTGATGGAACAGCGGATGCGGGCCCATGTCCTTGACACCAGGACCTACCATGGAGCTGATCTGCCCACTGACCATCGACTTGTCATCTGTAAGATGTGCCTGCCATTCTTCCACTCCGATGGTGGGTGTACACCCAGGACCCCATTCAAATTCATAGTGGCATGGTCTCAGCTAGCTGATGAAAGTTGCAAGCGAGAAGTTCATCATCGCTTGCGGCTGGGGTTGGCATTGTCCCCGACTCCTCCTGATGTCGAGGAGAAATGGGCGAGGTTTAGGACTGTGGCTCATTCAGCTGCAATGGCTGCTTTGGGTACATGGTCCAGATCTCCTCCAGAGACCCTGGCTGACAAAAGAGGTTTTCAGGCTGGCTGAGAAAAAGCGACAGGCCCACTCTCATCAGCTACAGCATCCCACGTCTGAGAATGAGGACGCTTATTGCAGCCTTTGCTCGGAGGTTTGGAGAGCTGTGAGGCACTGCAATGATGGGTGGTGGTCGCGGGTTGCTGAGGAGATGGAGTATGCCTCAATGGCCCGCGATCACAAATCACTCTTTAATTCTATCAAAAAAGTAACCTGCAGCACCACACCTATTACCATCATTAGCGGAAAGAACGGTGATCCAATCTCCGATCCCCAGGAACAGCTTCACAGATTTGCTGAGCATTTCTGTGAGGTCCTGGGGGAGGGGAAATCCCTCAGCCTGGAAAACAACGTGGGACAAAGTGGTGATGACCCTGCTGAGGCTGCAGTGCCTCAAATATTGGAAGAAGAAGTCACCCCCTGTGAGTGGCTGGCTGAGGTGGCATCTGTTGAGGAAGTACTGAAGGCGATCCAGAGTCTAAGACCAGGAAAGGCACCGGGCAGAGATGATCTACCAAGCGAAATGCTGAGGGAGGGTGGCGTTTGTGCACAGACTGCCCTACATTACATCATACCAACAGTCTGGACCACTGGATGGGTTCCGCAAGAATGGAAGGATGCCCTGGTGGTCCCCCTCTTTAAGAATGGGGACCGCACAGACTAACAACTACAGGGGCATCTCACTCCTCAGTGTGTCGGGAAAGGTCCTGGCAAGGATTATTCAACATCGCCTTGCTAGGCACGCTGAGGAGAGGCTTGGAGCCCCAATGCGGTTTCAGAAAATGGCGGTCCTGCACAGATGCCATATTTTCTGTCCGTCTGCTGCAGCAAAGGTGTAGGGAATTCCAACAAGACCTACATCTCTGCTTTATTGACCTGGTCAAGGACTATGATACCATCAGTAGGCCTGAGCTCTGGGTTGTTCTTCATGCTTTCGGAGTCCCTGACCCTCTGTTCATGATCATTAAGGATCATCATGATGGCGAGCGGACCCGGGTAAAACGACGTGGCCGGTAGTCGGTACCATTTCCTGTACACCTTGGGGTGCGACAAGGATGTCCACCTTCAATAGCTGTACCGGAGGAATTTCCATCTGGTACAGATACAATGGGAGGCTGATTGATGCCCGGGTGCGGTCAAGGGATGGCTCCCTATTGCTCAACCATGTTATGTATGCCGATGATCTGGTAATTGCTGCTCACTCAGAGAAGGAGTTGGAGGCGCTGCTGCTGAACCTGGAGCTTGCCACTAAGAGGTGGGGCCATACCATTAGTTCCACCAAAATTAAGCACCTGCCTGGGTATTTTGTACCATTGGACAATCCACCCACACAACTTCCAATTGGTGATAGGGCAGTTGTGGAGAGAGTGGAGAGTTTCCCATACGTTGGCAGTGTGATCATGACCGGCTCCGGTTTAACAGCAGAGGTCTCACTCCGAATCAGTCGAGCGGAATTATATTTTCATCGGTTGCGTAACGCTGTGTGGAAGCTACCTGGTCTCTCGCTCCGCACGAAGCTTCAGGTCTTCTCGGCCACAGTCATCCCCTCCCTTCTCTACGCTTGCAAAACGTGGACCCCCCTAATGGAACAACTTCGCCGGTTAGAAACATTTAGGCTGGCCTGCCTACGATCCATCCTGGGTTGAACCAGGCCAGATTTTGTGAGGAACTCACAAATCCTTGAAAGATCTGGACTAATTCCCATCGGTGAGCTCCTCCGGCAGGCAAGGTTGTGTTGGCTGGGTCATGTCGCCCACATGCCCAGCCACCGCATGCCTAAACAGCTTTTGTTTGGCCAGATCGAGGGGGCAAAACAGGCGTGGCACTGGCTAGAGAAGAGATGGAGTGAAGTGGTACGTGAGGATGTGGAGCTGAGTGGACTTGCCGATGACTGGTACCAGCGGTGTCAAGATCAGCCTCTGTGGAGGAGGCTCGTGAAGGACGCTACTGGGCAGTTGGAGGCAGTCGCCCTCCAAGAACAACGGAGGGCAGAGGAGCAACGCTCACAACAACGAGTGGAGTGACGGGTGGCTAAAGCACAGCAAGTTGGTACAGTAGGGGACACAGGTGGTGCATCAGTCAGTCATCTCAGTCATCTCAGTCAGTCGACCCGTGGCACCTGGGTTTGCCCCATGACCTCCTGCCAGCAGGCGTTCGACACTTCACGTGGCCTCAAGGTGCACATAGCCTGGCACAAGCGTCGTGGCGACGTCACTGCCACTTAGTTGCGAATGTCGGTTGTTGTTGTGGTGGCTGTGTGTGTGGTGTCTGTGTGTTGGTGTCTGTCTGTGTGTCCATACTTCATAGGTAATGCTGCTCGCTACGAACTAACAATAGTCTATGACACCACCACTACCACCATGCGGTGGTGGTAGTTGTGGTGGTCTGTCATCGTGTGCTTTACACGCTTTCATTTAACTCACTCTGTCTGTCGTCGTCATTGTTGTATCCTCAAATCTTGTAACTCAATTTTAACCCACTTCCCAATGTGGTATCGACTGCAAACTTGGTATACTTATGCCATACTGATGACAATAATATATTCTATCATAAAAAAAATATATATATTTTTTTAAACATTTTTTAAAATATTTTTTTATATGTTATGTTTCGGCTTGGGTCTGATTGTCCACGGTCAACTGACGTTGGTTGTAATTGGCCACGGTCCCTTACGTTATGGCAAGCTTCGGGGCCACTTCCTAGAGTCGTGGAGTTCTTTCATTACTAGTACATTTCATAAAAGCGTGTTTTTAAAAAAGTGTTTTTAAATATTACTTATTACTATAGTAGTTATTAGTATAGCCAGTGGATACTACTATTGTCAGTAGTTACAACTATAGAGGTGGTGCATGCTACGACAGAGTCCGTAGATACTACTGCAGTCAGTAGATACTACGATAGAGCCAGTGGATACTATCGTAGAGTTAGTAATGAATACTATAGTCAGTGGATACTACTATAGAGTCATTAGTTGCTACTATAGTGTCAGTAGATAGTACTATTCAGTCAGTAGATACTACTGTAGAGTTAGTAGATACTACTACAGTCAATAAATACTGCTAGTCACTATATACTGCTATAGAGTCAGTAGTTACTACTATAGATACGACCGTAGGCTCGGTAGATACTACTGTAGTCAGTAGATAAGATACTGCTACAGTCACTAGACACTACTCAATACTCACTCGATTGTATGCAGGGTGTGTAGTTATAAATGCCTACGGGGGGGTAAAATATATTTTTTTATGCGGGGAAGGTCGACAATTTTCAGAAACCTTTTAGAAAACTATTTAGCCGCCACGTTTTATTACTTTTACATTCAGGGCTTCTTCAAGCATCTTATAATTATATTGCTGGACAAATGGACAGGAAAATGGAACGCCGGGCTTTCACAATAGCTTAGTATTTGTGTATATATGTTATGTTTTTAAGAAAAGTTTTGAAATATATTTTTCCCCCGAGCGACGCCGGGAACTTTGCGCTAGTAGGAAATAAGTGTCTAACATGCTCTTGTAACAGGTAGTGTTGGCCCAAGGTAGATTTCTGTTGTAAATCACAGAGTATTGAAATATTTGCCTGCTTATAGCTAAAAACGTAGCTTGAGTGCAAAACAGCATTACCTGGTAAGACACTTTGGTGATGCTGCTGTCTGAGCTTTTTAATGTGAAGGAAACTGGGCTCCCAACCTAAAGAAAAAATCAGAGGTTTGTAAAGGGTGAAATGATTGTAAAAACTTACATATTATGTAAGTTTACATGTTGAACACGTGAGTACATGAAGGAAAACAATTGTGGGTTTATTTTTGGAATATCAGGCTTGATTGTGCAGGGAGAAGAGTAAATTGCTCACCCTGTAAATTAGTAATGACACATATTGTGAACATAGTGTGAGTCTGTTATGATTCTATCAGGGCAAGTAACTTATGCTCCACCTGGTTATGTGTGATTTGAACACCTACTGCAGAATTCCTTTCTTTAAGGACAAGTCATAAGCAACATTCCATATTCAACACAGAAATAGACACAATCGATGGTGTCAAGTTTCAGGATTCTCACCTTGACATTGGTTTCACTGGCTGTCACGTGCAAAAATGATCCATTTTGAAAACTCACCCATGCTGATATCGAATTACAAACAACGACTTCACCAAATCGTGCCTTGATGTAAACACGTGCACACAAACACAAATCCCCTGTTAGATGCAGCACAATAAATACACCATGAACAGACACATTAGACAACGTCAATTCTAAGCAAAGCCAAAGTCACTTTTACATGAGTGAAAGATTGCCTGTACAATCAGAATCAGAATATGTATTCATACTGTAGGAAACTGATGAGTTTTGAAGCTCTTTTCACAGATGTCCAGTCGGGTAGGTCAGAAAGTTACATCAACAAGAAATATAATAAAGGTTACATGAGTAACTTAGATCAAAGTTAAGCCAGTCACAAAACATATATATGAGCGTGGAAGTACAAACATGGAGTAGTCCCTCCATTAACAATGATATCGGTTAGCGGTTTTTCGGTTCACGTTTCGCCTCCCATAGAACCCTATAGTTGTGAATAAAGTTTAAATTTTTATTAACGGTATGTTTACGTTATGCACGCAGGCGCCAATTTCAGCCAATACGAGCGCTCGTTTAGTGGGCTGAGCATGCCTCAGCCAACCAACGATGCCCATTTATGAGCGTTGACACCTCGGCTGGCTTTGTTTACATTGGTTTCTGTTTTGGCAGTGGAAACGGCTCTCTTGCAGACTCCGTGGTTTTTACTTATTTTTGCAACTTATAAGTGAATTAATAGTGGTTGAAATGGCCCCTAAAATGAATTCGCGAAAGGAAAAAGAGTAGGAAAACAATTAGCCTTATGAACTATGTTTTAAGGTAAAAAATGTCAACTTCTGGTCGTATTGGAACGGATTAATGTTTTAACATGTGTAATAAAAGACTCCGTCAGGCACTACTGGTCTCCGCTTGTCTTTTATTCAAGTTCTTTCTCCGCACCCCGCTGGTCTCCTCCGCGGACCAGCGTCGTCTCGCGCGCGCCCAGCACGTGCTTCCTCCTCAGCTCCTCCACTCGTCCTCACACCCCGCTGGTCCTGACAAGGGACCAGCGTCTCCTCTCGCGTGCCACGCACGCTCCTCTCACGTGCCCCGCACGCTCTCGCGTGCCGCGCACGCTCCTCTCGCGTGCCCCGCACGCTCCTCCGTTAGCTCCTCCGTTAGCTCCTCCGTTAGCTCCTCCTCGCGCGCGCCCCGCACGCGCTCTCCCGTCAGCTCCTTCTCGCGCGCACCCCGCATGTGCTCTCCCGTCAGTCGCTCCGCTCCTCCTCGCTCCGCACACCGCTGGCCGACGATGTGCCGAAGCCGCATCAGCCACGTGGCTGATGGCGCGGCGGCCACCCAACGTGGTTCCGCTTCTTCACTCCAACAACTCCCCCGATCTCTTCCGGGCTCCCCTCTATATTTTCTCTCCCACGTGACCCTGACTCCTCCCCTTCCGGATCATCAGATCCGGCCTTCCCATACTGCCCTGCTGGCTCCACCTCCATTCACCTCGCTTCCCATTGGAGCCGAGGTGAACGGCGGCCCCTCCCACACGCCCCCCATACCGGGCTCCGCCCCCAATACCCCGGGCCGTGTGATTGGCCCAGAGCCCAGCAGCAACCCCATTTACGCTCGCATTACATGACCCCCCCCCCCCCCTGATGAAAAATCCAGCTGTCCCGGCTGCAATAGGATAAATAATGCGAGCGACGGCATCACAATCAGGAATCACCCCAGACACAACGGAAAGTACAACGACAAACACAATTAACGAAAGGGAAGGGATCTGGATCCGGTACGGAACACCGGCCCATCCTCCGTGCAACAAGCAAGAAGAATTAAGGAATGGAAAGCAATGCACAACAATGGTAACCGACACGCAAGAACGGCAGATGCGCATAATCAGGAATGCGGTGTCTAGAGCGTGTCCGTGTTGCTGGTCCATCTGCCTGGCTCAAGTCCAACTTCAGAGAACAACTGGTAGAGCAGGAGTGACGAATAGGCGCTCCACTCCCCCTTCAAGTCCACATCCGGTTAGCACAACCGGTGACACCCAGTGTGGCAGGCGCCGAAGATCTATGACGAGAAGGAGAACCCAACCCCCTGAGGCACAGCACCACGAAACGCACATCCGCATGCCGTACACGACAGCCACCCGGCCCCAGGGTAGTGGAGATGATCGAAATCCGCCCCGCGTAAGCAGAAACCTAATAAATTCCCAAAATCGACGCGATAGATGGGCAATCATCTACATTTTAACTTAAAAAATATTATTTACACATGACAACAACATTTTTCCTGCTCTTGCCCATCAGCAGTCCTCCCTTGAGGACCAGCACAGACATCTCACGTACACACCATCTACCCACTGTCACTCTCAACACAGCCCCCGGCTGCACACCCTCGGGTGGAGAGAGCCACGCTCCCCAGCGGCAAAATTTAATTTGCCTTCGCCCAACCACAGCAACGTCCACTGGCCATCCACTCGGCCAGTGCAATTTCGGGGATGAGACAATGGCACATCGCAATGACTCAGCCACGCTCCATCCCGTACTATCCCATCACCAGTGGACACACTCCAGCATCTTATAGTCTGATGCTTTACAGACAAGGGAAGGTTCATCCCTTGGCAAGGCCAGACCCCATCGACCCCCCACGGGGCAATGTTCCCTAGCCAATATCTTGACGATATGGAGTCACACTCCCCAACATGCATTCTGAACAACTTTGGCTTACAATCACCAATAGACTGAACCCGCTGTCCAGCATGTGTCCTCACTGCCGTCCTAGCAATCACCCCGGACCCGTCGCATTCCGCTAACCTAGGCCATATTCCAATCGCTTGAACCCCCACAATATCCATATCCCCGAATAGGATCTGCAGGACTAGTTCCCCTATACATTCAATAACGTCATAACCCAGAGTGGAACAAGTCCGCTGCCCTTCCCACTGGAGGACCCGCAAGGGGAATCCCCGCCCCATGCTAGCCAGGTCTCCCCGTTCGCTGCAACGTAACAGAACCTCTACAACTGAATTTCGTGAGCCCCCGGCCCACCAGGTTAACAGTCTGCCACCGCACGACGGAACCCCGACTCCCCGAGCCATATGAGCACACGGCCCATTAGTTTGAGACATACCACGGAGTGTCTCGCCTCCGGGCTGTCAGGTCAGCCATCGGCCATAGGCCGATGTGACCACAACTCGTGCATCACCCACTCAACAATGGCAGGCGTATACTGGTGAAATATTTGCCCCAGAATAGAACCCAGCCAGCATCTCAGTCCCAAAATGCTGGTGCAATGACACGCCCCCCCTTAGTCAGACATGGGCCACTATGCTCCTGTTACTCCGATGGGCGCCAACACGCCAGCATTGCGCACAACACGCAATGCACGCACACAAGTTAGAGCGCAACACGAGAGTCAAGGGATGATATCCATAACCGCATCACCGCGGCTCGACGTGTATACTGAAAATGGCGGCGGCACGCGCGAAGTGCCCCACCGAGGTTTTCCCCGCGCGCTCAAAATGGCGGCCCCCTGCGCCGAGCGCATCCCCACAATTTCCCACGTGCGCTCAAAATGGCGGCCCCATGCGCCGAGCGCATCCCCGCGATTTGCCATGCGCGCTCAAAATGGCGGCCCCATGCGCCGAGCGCATCCCCGCGATTTCCCGCGCTAGCCAAAATGGCGGCCCAACGTGCGACCACTTCGGCAGTTTTTCCCGTGTGTGCACCCCAGCTGCCCCTTGCTGGGGGTCACAACACACATCCCCTGTCACGTTTTAACAACCCCCATCGATACGACGCATAGCCACAGCTCGCTGCGCACATCAGTCGTATCGGGGGAATTTTTAACCCATAGTTGACCAAGACACATTGCTCATACACACCAACTCGCAATGCAACCCCTGGCCACACGCAATCAACGGAAAGAGCGACGCCACTTGGCGGAAATTTACGGCCCCACACACCCTTGACAGCAGAGCCACCAACAACGCCCTCATCCCTCAACACTCGCAATTTCCTATGAACACACATGCAATCTCGTGTGCACGAACACCCATACAACCAAAAATTAGGGTCCCCCACGAATTGACCAATTTCCGAACAGGTACGCACAACTAGTAACAATCCCGAACCCAATGGTCAAAACAATGCACCGCACACCGTATCCGTACAGAAAGACAGTCTCTACAGTATGTGCAGTCAGCATATCGCGATTACAAGCAGCAAAGTTACACACAGGTTGTACATTATGCACAATCGCAAGCAGAGCTGCAGGCAGACAACACACCGTTAACCCTGTCGTACCTTGCAGCAAAAAAAATCATCAAAATAACCACGTCGCACACATCAACCCACGGGATGGTAACAGCGCGGGACACTCAACGCAACCGAATTAATAATTAACTTCGCCATCAAGATAACATCCCCATGCCGCAACGCATAAACACTATTTGACACAGAGCAAACACAAGCAGACAGCGAGTCCATCCTCACACACACACACAGCCCGACCCGTGATCCGCACGCTCGAGACATAACAAACAATCGCACCCCAGCACAAGCAAGATGGGTGAGGTGTGTGTTAGGGCCGGGTGCATATCGTCACGACTCGCCCGGGGCTGCAGCGAGCAGAGGACGGCAGGGTGGTGACTTGAGACGCCTCGAAGAACTCGGACGGTGAGCGCGGCGTCCTCTCGCAACTGCTCCGGTGTCTCGCACACAAGCCAGGACGGGGGTGCTCCCACCCCGGCAGCAGCAGCATCGGTGTCCTCTCCTTGTGGCTCCTTCCCGCAAAACAGCTGCTCAGCAGCAGGATGCACACCACGCGGCGCCTCCGAGATGGCAGCGCATGGCCGCCTCTCCGCCGCGATGTTAAAGATGGCGGTGGCCTGCCACGTGGTCGCTGGAGGACGTGCGCCGGCGGCCGTCTCTTCGTCGTCGGAAGACGTAACAAGTGGGTTATGCTTTTTCAAGTTCTCGGCCATCTTCCTCGATGTTATTTTGCCTTGAAAAAGTCCACTTCCTACTCCAGTGTAATAAAAGACTCCGTCAGGCACTGCTGGTCTCCGCTTGTCTTTTATTCAAGTTTTTTCTCCGCACCCCGCTGGTCTCCTCCGCGCACGCGCTTCCTCCTCAGCTCCTCCACTCGTTCTCACACCCCGCTGGTCCTGACAAGGGACCAGCGTCTCCTCTCGCGTGCCACGCACGCTCCTCTCGCGTGCCCCGCACGCTCCTCTCGCGTGCTGCGCACGCTCCTCTCGTGTGCCGCGCATGCTCTTCTCGCGTGCCCTGCACGCTACTCCGTTAGCTCCTCCTTTAGCTCCTCCTCGCGCGTGCCCCGCACGTGCTCTCCCATCAGCTCCTTCTCGCGCACGCCCCGCGCGCGCTCTCCCGTCAGTCGCTCCACTCCTCCCCGCTCCGCACACCGCTGGCCGACGGTGTGCCGAAGCCCCATCAGCCACGTGGCTTATGGCGCGGCGGCCACCCAACGTGGTCCCGCTTCTTCACTCCAACAACTCCCCCAATCTCTTCCGGGCTCCCCTCTATATCCTCTCTCCCACGTGACCCTGACTCCTCCCCTTCCGGATCGTCAGATCCGGCCTTCCCATACTGCCCTGCTGGCTCCACCTCCATTCACCTCGCTTCCCATTGGAGCCGAGGTGAACGGCGGCCCCTCCCAAAAGCCCCCCAAACCGGGCTCCGCCCCCAATACCCCGGGCCGTGTGATTGGCCCAGAGCCCAGCAGCAACCCAATTTACGCTCGCATTACACATGTAATTCCTATATTCGATCTAACGGTTATTTTGGTTAACAACAGTTTTCATAAAACAGATTAAAAAGTTAACCGAGGGACTGCTGTACCTGCAAATTTGTCAAGAGTAAATGCAAGTTTTGGGCAATGCAGCAAAACAACAACAATCTTAAGGCCACACCAAGACAATACAGCCCCTCGATTACATTGCGTTTTAACATTTAACTATTGATACATTGGGATGGTTCATACCTCCACAGTCAGGAAATTTGCTTCTTTGGAAGTTGGCACATCGATGAAAACAATTCCGTTCGTTGGCACTGTGTAATTGGCATCAGTTTGATCCAATATCTGAGATCCATTATTGATCCCAGGGCAACTCATCTGCTCAAGACATGATATGTACTGTTTGACTGACACTGTAAGCTTTGTCTCTCGGTCTTTTGAAGTGAGTGGCAGTCCATCTACCAGATAAAGTCTTATCTGTAAATTATGCAAAAAAAATAATGAGAGCTTGAAATTTCCTTCTTGAAATTACATTTCAATACACCACATTTTTTTTATTATGTCATTAGTATTCTTAGGTTTTTTCGGTATCAAGATACAGCACTCGTTCTGTGACGGTTCCACCTGAAGACGGAAGCTTGTGTTGCCTCCGAAACGTCGTGATTTTTATTTTATTTTTATTTTACTTTTATTAATTTTAATTTTTAACTACGTGACTTTACCGAAAAAACCTAAGAATATGAATCCTTGCAGTCACGAAAGCTTCAAATCTAGAATTATGTCATTAGTGTTTAATTTTAATACAATAATAAGTAACTTTCAATCATGTCAATTTTATTCAGACAAAAATTGAAAAAATTAAATGAATAAGTCATAACCAAAGGTTCTCTGCTCAATAAGCAATTATATTATCACGTATGGTAATGTGTTAATTGCCAAATGTTTATATGTCTGCTAGCCAAGAGAGGGCTGCAGGAGAGAGTTTGTGTAGTTTCGCTACTCCTCCACTCAAGCAGCATAGACTACAGTGGTTTACTATATGGTCCATAGTTTGGGTTACATCACCACAGTTGCAATGTGGCTTGTCTTTTAATTTTAATTCATGAAAAAGATGTGTGCAGCAGCCTGTTGATGTTCTTATGAGGTTGATGGTTACACCAACACACGTTCTCTGGAACTTGGTGATATTCAGCGGGATACCATACGGTGGATCGGAACTTGAGTCAGTGGCGAGGTACTTTGAGAGCTGAGTTTATGGGTAAGTTGTCATTGCAAGAAAACACGGAAACTTCTATTTATAGTTTGTAGTATTGCAATGTGATAGCCAGCATTGCTCATTTGAGCAATGATGGCTGTCTTGAACTAGCGGTGGACATTATACATTCTTGTGACAAGAGCCATTCTACATATTAGATTTCATTATAGCTTCTTAGAGAGGGGTACTTATTTTATTGCCCCCAGAGATTTAATAGATTGAATTGACTCAAAACATAAATGTTAACCTGAAAACTTCCAATTGTGAGTAAAGTTCTTGAAACACATTAACAATAGTTAAAATAATAAAATACTATTCTTGAAAATATACTTACATTACTTTTAAAGTTAATACCAGGAATGAATCTCCAATCCCCATGAAAATAAATTTCAACTCTGTTCTTTGAAAAAATAACCCCGGTGTTTTTTTCCATTCTCATGCCTTTAAGAACAACAACAACAACAAGCAGAATATCAGCACAAATGCGACGTCATCTTAACTGCCAACCTTTATAAAATAACTGAATACCCGTTTAAAATTCAAAACAAAGATATTTAAGTTGTGATATCATTGGAATATATGAGTGGGGTTAAGTAATAAACTATATTTTTCACCTTTGGTGAATGTCAATTCATATATTTAAAGGCTAGAGGCACGTTTTAGTTGATTTGTAAAATTTCAGCTCACCAAATCATACAGCGACACAGATATTAACGCCTGCTTAAAGCTGACAAGAAACACATCTCAAACTAGAAAAATAAATCTGGCATGTGCATTTGGATACATACAGGGGATATTCTGAATCTCCCAATGGGAAAGGGTAAGACACATATACGTGCATAATATGAAGTGGAATTACAGCATTGAGATTTGTCAAGAAGAGCAGGTTGCACCAGGAACATGAAGATGACTGTGCAGATGAAGCAGGGAAGTTGCAGCGAGTCTGTGGTAGCATCAGTGGCAATGGCCGTGGTAATGTCTTGAACTGGATTGAAATACAGTCCTCAAAATATGGTGAGATTAATATGCTTGAATATATTTGAGTGTAAATATCCAGCTGGCAACTTGGTGGACGGAAAATATTCACACGAAATGTTGAGTAGGATTAGAGAACATCGTCAATAACATCATCTTGACTGTTACAAAAAGTAAGTGGGCTTGACCAGAGGAAATGATGACTTCGTCAAGACTAATGGCCAAGGAGGTAATACACCCCAGAGGTTGACCATTTGTTGAAATAGTTTGATGAGATCAGAACATGTGCACGAGCTAGTCGGATTGTTACATTATAGATTCATGGTAGATTGAGACGACTTGATTAGTCATTGATCCAGCATAGATTTGAATGATGGAATAGGGCCCAATTTGTAATAAAAGCCATTGTATGGATAACATCATATTCCTTGTTTTTGTCACTTAAAATTATCCACTATCCATGGATACACCTACACAATTTAGTAAATATCTACAATATTGTCATACTTGAAAATATCTTGACATTACATTGTTTGGTAGCAATTAAACCCTTATATTTACACACTAAGCATTGTCCATTGACACATTAAATGCAGGTTTGACAAACAAACCCTAGGCCATAACCAATGTATACATTATTAATGAAAAATTATTTCTGTGTTGATCAAACTCATATATGCATCCACAATGCAACTAAAATTCACATTTTTTCTGTGCACTTTATAGGTTACTACATCACCTCACTGGTGGATGAATTGTTGAAGAAAATCACAAACAAATTATTTAGCAAATAATCTATATGTGCAATGGGATCACAAATATATGCACCTCCGATTAGCATGGTTGGCTACATACGGCGCGAAAGAAGTTCAACCTACATACCTGTTGCATCATCGGTAATGACGACTGAGATTGTTGAATCATGTATTTCTGAGGTATTGGCAGAAAACAGCTGCATAAGCTCCCTCCGGCGGAAAGTGAAGTATCCATTTCCATCAACCTGAAAAATGTCACATAAAAAATAGCTTAAAGGTATTTTATTTTACCAGTCAATATTACTGAAATGAATGGTGAAATAAGTGCAAATTTTAATGCTTGGTAATAAAGTCATAATCATCATCACCTATCATTTAACCATAATGGTGGTGAGGATACCACTGATGCCTTGGCCATCAATTGTCAAACTTTTGCCAGCCCTTCAAAGTCTTTGTTAGGCATTGTACTGACTTATCAGACTGTGTTATCACATTGTTCATCTGATTGATTATAGGGTCATCCTCATTCATTTTACTTCTCCCATGCTCTGGATAGCCCCTCTTTCAGCATAACATGTCTATTGCAGTTTTCTTTAATCTTATCAACGAATATTTTGTGATAGAACTGATATTTTTGCGCAATATTCTGTGTGGTATTTCTCATAGTCGTCTAAGACTTTTATCTCAAATGCTTATATCTTGTTTTGTCTCTGTATTAAAGTGTCCCTGCTTGGCAGCACTGTAGAAATAACTATCACTCGTAGCAGTCAGTTTTTAGATGTGATTGATATAATTGTATTTTCCATGTACTTTAGAGGTTTACTAGGCTTCTGGTTGCAGCAGCTATTCTGGTTTTAACTTCGTTGTCAGATCTTTCATTGTATGTGATGGTTGTCCCTAAGTATTTTAAATAATTCACTCTTTGTAAGAATGGAGAAGTTTTGCTACCTGGGCAGTGTGCTTATGACTAGCTCTAGTTTGTCAGCGAAGGTCTCCCTCTGAATTAGTCAAGCGGCATATTTTCATCAGCTGCATAACGCTGTGTAGAAGCTACCTGTCATATCACTCCATACTTCGCTCAGAATCGTATTTAACACATTTATTCACTCTCTTCTATATGCTTGTGAAATGTTAACCGATTTCAAGGAACATCTGTGCTGGGTTGAAACATTTATGCTGGCTTGCCTATGATCCATCATCGGTTTAAAAAGACTGGATTGTGTGAGGAGTTAACAAAACCTTTAAACATTTGGAAAGTCCCATCAGTGAGGTCCTCTGACAGGTGAGGCTGCCTTGGCTGGGTCATGTAGCCTGCATGCCGAGTCACTGCATGCCTAAGCAGCTTCTTTTTGGCACATCGCTACTTAGTGGAGAACGGTGGTTGTTGTTGGTGTTAAGTGATGATGTGCATATAGTGGGGAGCAGTAGTGTAGCGGTTAGCGCACTGCGTTACGAACCAGGCCACCCGAGTGCGATACCTGCTCAACACCAGTGACTATTTTCTGAACTGGTCTTGGGCCTCCCCTATGTCGACTCAGCCTCAAATGAGTACCTGGTGTGGTGTCTAAACATCGCCACTGGGGAGACAAAGGCGGTCGGGCGTGATGCTGGCCACCCACCCCCTCGTGTACCATTCCGGCCTTCATAGGTGCTCACTAACAGCACTTGCCCCTACAGTTTGTTAAGATTATACGGGGGGTCTTTGTCTTTTTTGCGCATATAAATGGTAAAACAATTCCAGCATAGGATCGAAAAACAATAGTGTTGCCAATTAATATTCTTAATTTGTCCAAGTTTCACGTTGATTTTGTTTAAACAAGTGTAGTGACGCAGTTCGGAGACTGTAATTGGAGGCATCTTCATTTATTCTTGCACACAATGGGTCTAAACGCACCCTACTTGGGTGCACACTATATATATTGTACATACAACCGTCTATTGTCGGAGGCACTTTCGAGCTAGAACAATTGGCAGGATGTCTAGCTAGCTGCACCCAGTGATGGTGAAGGCGGCGATGATGATGGTGAAGATGGCGGCGATGATGGTGGCGAAACAGCACGGTGAGGTGATCCACTTCCAGCAACAGCCCCGAACTCTCGCTCAGGGCTCCCTCTTATGCTCCCGGCATGGTCTTGCTCCGCCCTGGCCACGCCCCCTTTCTGGAACTTACTATCAGGTTCCCGGGGCTTACAGATGGACCCCTCCATGAACTCTCCCTTAGTTGTCTTCCCCCCATATATACTGTCGTCTGCTGACGTGTATACTGCCGTACACTGCGTTACCACTTTCCATTAGCAGCCAGCGCTATTAGACCAAGATTGCCTCATTTGCATGAGTGGCTTACAGTCATCAAAATGAACACCTTATCCATATACATGTTGGAGCAAAGGAGACCTCAAGAAATACTTTGTGTTTATGTAAAGGTTTAGATTGCAATTATGTTTTTCTTACATTCACATCCTTTGTAATCCATGCATTAGAGTTGTAATATGGACCAATGGTGACAGTTGCTGTGCCTTTGAAGGTCTTGCCCTGGTACCTAAGCATGTTCATAAACACTTTATGTCATTTACAAATTTTTACATAAATATAGGGTATTTAAAAAGATGGACCCAATTTCAAAGCAGTATATTTCCCGATGGCAACATGTTACAATTACACAAAAAGTTACAAACGGTTTAATGAGTTATCAAGTTTTACTAACCATTTTATAAATGCTCTATGTGCCCTCCACCTGTTGTATGGACAACATCGAGACGATAGTTGAATTCGTCCCAAACACCTCTCTTCTCACGTTTTCTGTGCTCTTCCCCTTACATAAACAGCCTGTTACCTCAAATTGTCGGTGCCAACGACGAATGCTCTTTGACATTGGCGGATCAATGCCAAAACGCCGTTGAAACGCACGCTGCACCGCAATTACGGATTCAGTTTTGCTGAACTGTAGAACGCAAAACGACTTGTGTTGCGGGGTCGCCATCTTGCGAATGACTGAGGCTAGGGGCTGATTTTGTGCTAGGAGAGGCATCTAGCGGTAATCATTTGAAACTCTATGCCCCGCCCTTTCAAGTGGTAAGAGATCCATTCATGGGCGGTTTGTGATTGCAGAGATTTAGCGATTCGGGTCCATCTTAATTAAACATGCTGTATTACATTTTCTGAGATCAGATTCTCTTGCATGATATTCAGATTTTTGCATTGTTTAAATGGAGTGTAACAAAGGTTTTAACACACAACTTTCATGAGTTTTTCAAATGAATCTTTCATTTAAGTCTGGTTGGCCAGTCCTGAAGCCAAACGTTAGCTATTCTGCCATATCTAATGTTGGAATCCACTTGGACCTTTCCCACCATCTATGCCATGGGCTCCATGCCAGCCCCATTGTTTATCGATCTGCCATGCTTTGTGCCAGTGTAGGCAGATCTCAATCAGAAGCTTTCTGATGAAAGTCAGGGAGTTGTGCTTCATCTCACCCAGGATTGGAGAAATAGTATCAGTGCTATCTCTTGAGAGCCCTATTTCTCATTTACAGCCCTCATATCAAAGGGCTGTAAATCACATCTCCTTTCAGTCTTTGGAAAAGGTGCCCACATTTGCAGATGTCCCTGTGGACACAATGTGACCCAGCACCTGGCCTACAAACAGGCATCAGTTTGCCAGTAGGGGGCAAATATTTATCATTTGTATAATCCCAATTAATTCATTTGTAGGCAAATGTGGACCATGGTCCCAGCACACAATTGTATGGCCTACTCTTGCAAATTACGTTAGATTATCTTGAACATCCACTGTAAAGCAGACCGCACACATTATTATAAAGCAGATGGTGCGTTATTACACCAACAGTAATAACCAGGGTTAATACTTCCGATTAGGACTGTTGTATATGTACGGTGTGAAAGAAGTTCAAGTTAGAAGTTCAAGGGTGGCTGCTGGATTAGAACAGTAAACCTCTGCACCAAGCAGGAAATTCGCTACTACTAGGCCATTTCACTGCCCTTGCTGTTATTGTGTCACTGTGCCTAGCCTCCAGCATACGAAGTTTGGACACCCTTGTGTCTAGAATTTTTTGTTCAGTAATAAGGGGAAATATAGGGAAATTAAAACCGTTTTTTTGGGATGGGGAGCAATTTCTTAGTCCTGTGAAATATCTCTGTGGTACTGCGAGACTGAGAATTATTGCTCATGCATCAGCCTTGAGAGTTATGTAATATGTGAACTTACCATGCAGATATTACTCCAGAGAGGTCGTCACTTCTACTGAGATCGAAGTAGCGTGGGACGTCAATGAGCACAATATCCACTAAAGATTTCCAGAGAAGAAGCATGTATGTCAGAAATATAGTAAAACACTTTGGAAGACTAAAGTATATACATTGATTCAGTAGGCGTGTTTGTGCTTTAAAGCAGAAATATTTGTATTGCATATGGTATACCAACGCATTAAAGTCCGCAAATATATTAAAATATATGATGCAAGAAACAATATATGCCATTCCAGCAAACTTGATCTCCTGCAGGAAATGCAACATTACACATGATTCCCTTCATAAACAAATCACAAACTCTCCTACATTAAATATAAAAAGTAACATTTAACAAACAGGAGGCAATGCACACGGTAAGACAGGGTGGTTGGTACAGGGTGTCAAATTAATGGTATTGGATTCATAAAAGCATCTTTAAGCTAGTTTTATAATTCCTTCAGCAAATTATTGTCTACGGATATTCTGTGACGGTATCTAATCACCATCATAAGTAGCCATGTATTAATTGCGTGGACAACCCATCATTCTGAACCTTTGAGTCTTATCCTCTCGATTGTGTGTTTTCTCAGAAATGCCAAATTCTTCGATTAGCACGGTTGGGTATGTACGGTGTGAAAGAAGTTCAACATTCATACATACTTAAAATTCAATTATTCAAATATCCAAAGCCAAGACCCTTTGAAATAGTTGTTTTTTTTATATATGAACCTTATGGCGGGGCCCCGGGGTCCCATAAGCCCCCGGCTCTCGCATAAACTGCGTTGCTACGTCATTTTATGTCTGTTGAAGGCAAACGATACGGCAATCTATTCCTCTCGACGAGCTCTACATGATGCGCTAATCAAAGTTTCAAAGTTTTGTTTCTTCTGCGCATTCGTCCTCACTGCGCTTGGACGCCATGACAACAGAATGATCCGCGCCAGTTGGGTCGCGGCGTCTACAGTATGTGCACGGTTGGACGGAGTCGCCAAAAATAAATTAATTACCATTTTGAATTCCGTTTATTCGGGACCCCGGAGTCCCGCCATAAGGTTCATATCACCACGTTATAATATATACATATATATTAGTACACATGAATTAATCCCCAACTACTGTATGCATAAATACGAAGAGCTATTGCCAGAGACATTTGCACTTTTTCTGGAGTGGTATCTGAAGCAATCAAAATTTAAGGTGCAATGACAAAAAGTGTGTTTGTTTGCCAACACATATTTAATAACCACCGTATGTATTGTATTTGGTTGGTATCTCAAGTCTAAACGTTCCATGAGTAAAATTAATGGAATAATCTGAGGCTGAAGTAGCTGTGCTCAAACATGTTGAGATTATTATAATCTGTACATCAAAATAGGAAGCTTGCGATTGGTAATACATTATTAAAATGTTGCAGTACTCACCATAGTTTCTGACTTCAAATGCATGCCAGTAGCCATTAGTTTCGTGCTTTAAAAGAAACAAATGATCAGAATAAAACATATTTACACAGCTAGACCCTTCCAATATTCGTTTTTAATTGTTAAAGCTACTGTAAGCAACATTGTGAACACAGCACAAATAGAGGTATTCTGGCTTCAACCTTCCAGGTGAACCTGTCCCAAATGTTGCGAGAACACCTCATGGTAAAGGACTCTGGATTATGACAAATTTACAATATTTCTACTACAACCCTTAGTTATGAGAGTATATTCATGCACTTTTTTAATAAGATTATTTGACTTTGATGGCCATGCCATGACACAACATTTACCCAATATGGAACACATTTTATGCATTTTCAAAGGTATTTATAGGTTACTATATGTACATAATAGGAACATTGTTATCCTTAGTTTCTGACTCACAGCTGCAGCAGTGTTGCAGCGTTGGGACATAATGTAGGGCCTCCGATCATGTATAAGTAGCTTAACTGTTTCAGAAAAATAGTCGAATTTTGGTATGGAAATTTACAGGAGACAGTATATCAGGAACATTATAGACATACGGCTTTCCTTACACTTGGATGTCCCTGATATTGTAAACGGTAGAAACAGCTCAAAGTCCTCTCTAACGGGTGGGATTTATTTTTTAATTAGCAGAGCATGACCTGAACAACCTTGTTGTGTCCACCCCCTCCAACAGGAATAAACTAAAGACTGAGCTTTGATGACCAGTATTATGAGCCTCTATTTTTAGTAGTAAAACAAATCTGGAGACATTTTTTATTCTGCTGGGTTACCTTCAGATACGACGTCACTTATTAAGAGCGGTTTAAAATCGGCATGCCCTTCCCTCATTGAATTTTGTAGGACTTTTCACAAAAGGAAAGCGGGAGTTGGTATCAATAATTTCTTACCTCTTCTGCCTCCACCTGCAGATACCAGTATCCTTCTGGCGCCGTCTCAGACAGTGAGTACTGCAGTGACACGACGCCGTTCTCTCCCTGCACATTCTGCCAGGTCTTCTTTACGTCCCCAAAAGAACTCTGAAGACCAGTAGCATCAGCACAGTTAGCCAAGTGAGCCCTTATATACACATTAGCCAATGTTACTTGCCTAAACAATGGATTATTAAATAAAAAAATTGGTCATTTAATGATTACATTCCAGAATGGTGCAATTAAAACATGATAATAATTGGATATATGGAAGCAATATGTATAAAATGAACAAGTGCATGTCCTTTACACGCAAGGTTATGTTTATAACTACAATTACGTCAGCTCAGAGAATAACAAACCTGCAGAGAGATGTTAAAGCGTCCCAAGTAAGGCAAGCGATTGCCATGGACACCAAATAATATACACTGAACTGTCTGACCCGGCTGATAGAAATATCGATCACTTTGAATAATGATGTTTAACCAATGATAATATCCAGTATACAGTGGCGTGTTGAAGAGCTCTTGGTTTTCAGACTTGCCCACCAGGTTCATCATGAACCAATCACTATTCAGCATCTGAAACACAGACATTAAACTGATCAGTACAAACATGGTAATCTACGTGATTTTTGTTTAACTTTGCTTAGTCATACTCTTTGGGTCTTTCGGTAAGGTCACGTAGAAAAACCCAAAGAGTATGAATTCCTGCAGTCACGAAAGCTTTAAATCAAGATTTAACTTTTCTTAGGTTTAAGTTCAAATTAACGATTAAAAAGAAAATATAATATTCTAGCAGCTGGATTCATACTCCTGTTTTTTAAGAGTAGAGCCTAAACAATGATTCAGTGCAACAATACATCTCGTCATTCTTGGGAGCATCTTGGACAGTATGCTCCTGCATGTGACATGAGCCATTCCCCGGGCACCATTACATTCACAGATTTCACATATGTTACTCTCATTCCATTTTTTGTTGGAAAAATATTGTTTTAAACTTACAGTTGGAAAGGTGACCATAGTCGTTGTGCCTGAAATGTAAGAAAATAAGAATACTCATGAAGTCGTTTCATCCGATTTTTAAAGTAGTATTCCTTCATTCCTCCAAAACTAAATAAGATATTAATACATGTATTTTACTAATTTATACATTATTTATTAGCATTTATATACAAACTTAAAATTCAACATAGGTGCCAGCATTGTCAACACACTTCTGTAACCTTAAAGGTACATTTTGGGCAAATTCATACAAAAAATTGTCTGGCATGTTACATAGCACCTCACAAATTTGTATCTCTAATTCATGAATGGTCCTTGTTTGCGATTTGTAAACTTCTTCTTTGGCCCAACCGCACAGAAAGAAGTCACAAAATGTTAAATCAGGACTTCTAGCAGGCCATTATGTTGGCCCTCTACGGCCTATCCATTGACTGAGAAAATGATCATCAAGCCATGTACGAACATTTAATAAAAAAATGTGATGGAGCTCAAATAAATGGTAATGTCTTCTTGGTTCTTTCGGTAAAGTCATGTAGAATGGAAATAATAAAATAATAAAAATAAAACATAATAAAATAATTCTCACGACGTTTCGGCCACAACGCAAGCAGCTGTCCTCAGGTGAAGAACAGGTCTGTCAGAAAGACAGCGTCTGAATGAACACCACCAGGCTTGGCAGCGTATATTTAAGCTGGGTTGGAGGGGGAAGAGCGCCTTGACAAAGGAATTTGCATATCAAGAAGAATTTAGCATATTTATGGGAAATGCAGGTATGTGATTAGTACTACTTATGCCCGTGCATTATGCAGGATTAGCAGCATCAAAGGGAGGGGATATGGGAAATGCAAGTATGTGATTAGTACTACTTATGCCCGTGCATTATGCAGGATTAGCAGCATGAAAAGGAGGGGATAGGGGTAGCATTAATAAAGGGAAGGAGTGTTAATAGTATGTAGCTGCAGTAGCTAAAACCACCACGTAAACAACTAAAGTATAAACTACATAGTATCATCAGTATACTAAATATACTCTACAATAAGCTGAGTTATTAACAGTAAGTAATACATTACAATTCTACGTGGTAAAAAATATAATATGCTTCCATCTAAACTGTATTCTCTTACATCACACGAGTCTACACCATACTATATACTGCCATAGACAAACCCAACATTAAATTATATACTGTATTGCTATAAACCACCCTATACCGTCGACTATACATTGTAATATTACACTATGTATTATTCTACCCACCCTAATGTATATCACACTGCTGTATATTCACTATACAATTGCGATACTATATATTACTTTGTACATTGTATTAAGCATATACATTTTATACTATTTGTTATTATACACTGTACCATTGACCGTCGTGTGAAAGATACTAAGAGGAAGCAACGAAATATGTCAATGGGAGAGTAGTGAAGGGAAACTTGCAGCGGAGCAAAGAATGTACAAAGTAATATATAGTATCGTAATTGTACAGTGAATATACAGCAGTGTGATATACATTAGGGTGGGTAGAATAATACATAGTGTAATATTACAATGTATAAGGTTTAGGGTGGTTTATAGCAATACAGTATATAATTTAATGTTGGGTTTGTCTATGGCAGTATATAGTACGGTGTAGACTCGTGTGATGTAAGAGAATACAGTTTAGATGGAAGCATATTATATTTTTACGACGTAGAATTGTAATGTATTACTTACTGTTAGTAACTCAGCTTATTGTAGAGTATATTTAGACTACTGATGATACTATGTAGTTTATACTTTAGTTGTTTACGTGGTGGTTTTAGTAACTGCAGCTACATACTATTAACACTCCTTCCCTTTATTAATGCTACCCCTATCCCCTCCCTTTGATGCTGCTAATCCTGCATAATGCATGGGCATAAGTAGTACTAATCACATACTTGCATTTCCCATATCCCCTCCCTTTGATGCTGCTAATCCTGCATAATGCACGGGCATAAGTAGTGCTAATCACATACCTGCATTTCCCATAAATATGCTAAATTCCTCTTGATATGCAAATTCCTTTGTCAAGGCGCTCTTCCCCCTCCAACCCAGCTTAAATATATGCTGCCAAGCTTGGTGGTGTTCATTCAGATGCTGTCTTTCTGACAGACCTGTTCTTCACCTGAGGACGGCTGCTTGCGTTGTGGCCGAAACGTCGTGAGAATTATTTTATTATGTTTTATTTTTATTATTTTATTATTTCCATTCTACGTGACTTTACCGAAAGAACCAAGAAGATGAATCCCTGCAGTCACGAAAGCTTTAAATCGAAATAAATGGTAATGGTTGAGCTTGTAATTAATGGCAAGATGGTTACACTATCTACATTACTCTTGGAGTGATTATGCTTTCAAACTAGGGAGTGACTTTTCAGAGACCATGTATATATCTGTCAAGGTAAATAGATTTAAAAATGTAGGGATCATTAATTTTTTTCCCATTAATATTTTTGACACAGTAAAAAATGTAAGCGCATGTGTACAGTATTTCATGTCCGTGTTAATTTATACATTCGTCTCGCTGTGTATGTGTGTTGCTTCGTGTCAGATTATGTATTTAAGCCTGTCTGTGCTCTAAAGTTTGTGCTAGGGGCTGGTAACCCCTCCAGATGAATTACCTCCAACTAACATAGTTGACTATGGTGCGAAATACGTTCAACATTCATACATACCTTACCTATTAACGTGGAAAATACCAAAATAAGATTGTGCTGTAAACTGTGGGGAAATAGGCGTCCATGACGTATTTTGGAAAAACCTCAATTGGCGGAGCCAAACTGTATCCTCTGCCCCTCAGGGTTCCTCAAGAATATAAGTATAACCCGTAAAAGTAAAGTTTCTCACTATAAATCCTTTATTTGCGTGGCAGCGAACTTAATATAAAGGATTTAAAAATATATTCGCCTGTGGAGGACGCGGGGATCAATCCCGCGACCTTTGGCATGGGAAGCGAGGGCGCTACCAACTGCGCTACTCCGCCACGGCCTGTGGATGGGTTACGCTCTGGGCTCTTATACTGTGACGTTCAACCAAAGCCAAGAATGAGTTCTATTTGAATATATGTAAAATACATTTTTTTTGCCTAAAAAGTGTAAAATTTAGGGAATTTTTTTTCACGAACATTAATTGTCTGGCACAACGAGTCTGTGTGGAAAATGTCAGCTCGATTGGATCACGGGAAGTGGGTTAAAAAACGACCGAAAGATTTGCACGGTCCTAAGCAAGCAAGCACGCAAGCATGCGAACTTAATATAAAGGATTTAAAAATAGAAAATCGCTGAGGTTGGCCACGTGGAATGCGCAAATGCTCACTGCGCAGGGGAGGCTGCCATCCCTCTATTGGCCGCTGGACAGGTACCAACTTGATCTCTGGAATACATGTGAACTGGTTCTGGCTCCAGTCACCAGGAGGGGTAGGAATTACCAAATAGGAAGTAGCTCTTCTTTTGAACAAAATAATAAAGGGGGTGTGGGAGCATGAAATCGAGGTGTGGGAAGCTGTGAGTCCCAAGCTCTTATGGGTTCATCTCCCCATCAACAGTAGGTAAGGAATGGTGGTGGTGGCTTATGCCCCCTCTGAAGATGAACGAACATTAGTGGTGGGAAGCAGGAAACGCTGAGAAGTCAGATGCCTTATGTGATGTATAAGGCAGCTAAAGTTGCCTTTTAGAATAGAGTAATCTTGTTGGGTTACTTGAATGCCTGATTGGGTCATGACATAGGCACCTGGGTAGAGTGATTGGAAGGCAAAGGCCAGATAAACTCTAACAACGGTAGGATGCTGCTAGGCTTCTATACAGCCAATGGGCTTGTAATCAACAACCCACTGTTCCAGCATCAGCAAATGCACGTAACATTATGGATGCTTGCCAGTTTAAAGCAAGAACATCTGCTGGACTATAAAGTTACTGAACAGTGAAAGCGGGCCCATGTCCTTGATACCAGAAACTACCATGGAGCTGATCTGCCGACTGACCATCGGCTGGTCATCTGTAAGATGCGCCTGCCATACTTCCATTGCGGTGGTGAGCATCCCTCTATGACACAATTCAAAAACCACAAGAGCCTGGTCTAAGCAAAATTTTTACTTGAAACTTTCGTGACTGCAGGAATTCATATTATTGGTTCTTTTGGTAAAGTCACGTAGATAGACAAGAAAAGAAAAAGATAATAAAATTAAATAACATAAAAAATACAAATAATAATTAAAATAAATTATTATTTTCTATGTATTATTTTAATTTTAAATTTTTATTAAATTTTATTTTATTATCTTTTAATTTCTTTTCTATCTACGTGACTTTACCGAAAGAACCAAAAATTTGGTCTAAGCTACTTTATGAAGGTTGCAAGTGAACATATCATTATCGTTTGCAGGTGGGGTTGGTATCGTCTTCCCCCCCTCCACCTCATGTGGCTCATGCAGCGGCAATGACTGTATTGGGTACGCGGTCCAAACTTCCCCAGATACCCTGGATGACAAAGGATGTATTCCAGTTATTTACAACTTTCCACTTCCGAGAATGAGGTGGCTTAGCACAGCCTTCGCTCGGAGGTTCAGAGAGCCGTGAATGGTGGTCATGAGTTAGTGATGAGATGGAAACTGTCTCAATAGAGCTCAATCATAAATCACTCTCATCTTTCATTCCATCAAAAAAGTAACTTGCAGAACCACACCTGTTACCATCCTGACAATGTTGATCTGATCTCAGACCCCCAGGGACAGGCTATCGTGTTTGTCAGCGTTTTGGAGGTTTCGAGGAGGGACAATCCCTCAGTCCAGATAACATCATGAAGCAAGGTGGGGTTGACTTTGCTGAGACCTTGCATGACATCATTACAACTTTCTGGCACACAGGACAGGTTCTGCAGAATTGTAAGGATGCCCAGGTGGTCCTTATTTCCAAGAAAGGGGAACACACTAATTGCAACAACTACCAGGGCATCTCCTTCCTCAGAGTGTTTGGAGTGGTACTGACAAGGATAATTTCACATCGCCTTGCCAAGCATGCTGAAAAGAATGTTACGGAAACACAATGTGGTTTCAGACCGAGAAGGTCCTGCATGGGTGCCATATTCTCTGTATATCTGCTACAGCAGTGGTTGGTATAGGGAATATCAACTGGATGCCATATTCTCTGTATATCTGCTACAGGGAATATCAACAAGACATACATCTCTGCTTAATTGACCAGGTCAAGTCCTTTGATACCACCAATAGGTCATGGTTTTGGAATAGTATTAATACTTTCGGGGTCCCATACTCTGTGAATGGCTGTAATTCAGAGACATTTCCTGTTAAACTTGGAGTTCGACAGGAATGTCCTCTGGCCTCTACATTATTTAACATGTTCTTTGGCCACGCAGTTTAAAACACTATCCATGGCTGTAGCAGAGACATTTCCATCTTGTACAGATGCAATGGGGGCCTGATCAATGCCCTCCTCTTTGTCAATCATGGCCTGTATGCTGATGATCTCATTGTTACTCATTCTGAGGAGTTAGAGACTCTACTGCTGAACCTGGAGTGTGTTAGTAAGAGATAAATCCCACAAATGCAAAGACCTTCCTGAGTATTTTACGTCTCAAATACTCCATCCCCTTCACTCCTCATGAGTGATGGGACAGCTGTGGAAGAGTGGAGAAGTTTCCATACCTGGGCAGTTTGCTTATGTCTAGCTCCAGTTTGGCAGCAGAAGTCGCGTTCCAAATCAGTTGAGCAGCATGATCTTTTCATCGGCTGCATAACACTGTGTGGAAGCTACCTGGCTTATCGCTCCATATGAAGCTCTGGGTCTTGTCAGCCACAGTTATGCCTTCCAATCTATCTGCTTGTGAAACGTGGAGGTTTTTCAAGGCACAGCTGTGCCGGTTTGAAACAATCAGGCGGTCGTCCACTACATCTATCTGTGCTCTCCTGTCACCCTGCTGTGCTACAACACAGCAGTGGAACTCTCCTATCTTTTCGGCCTGGCTTTTAAGGGTCACTGAGCTTGGCTCTGTGCTTTCAGCCACGGTCAATTTATGTCTTTAAAATACTTTGTATTGCGTTTATAAATTGTGTACCTATTGATATTATTTATTTATTTTTAAATGTATTATTAATGTGAGGAGCACACATCCTTGAAAGATCTGGACACAATCCAATCAGTGAGCTCCTGCAACAGGCTCGTCTGCGTTGACTGGGTCATGTAGCCCACATGCCGAGCCACCGCATGCTCAAGCAGCTTCTTCTTCTCTAGATAGAGGGGGCTAAATGGGCATGACACAGGCTATAAAACAGACGGGTTGATGAAGTATAGAATTATGTGGAGCTGATTGAACTTGCCGATGACTGGTACCAGGGGTGTCAAGACCGACCTGTTGAGGTTCGTGAAGGACACAAGTGAGCAGCTGGAGCCAGTCATCCTTCGACAACAGTAGAGGTGGTGCATCTTCTAGTCACCTCAGTGAGCTGGCCCTTGATTTGCCAGTGAGCCTAATACACTTCACATGGCCTCAAGGTAAAGTTAGCCTGGCGCAAGCATGGTGGTGACGTCACCACCACATAGTTGAGAATAGCGGTTGTCATTCTTTCAGGGGCACAAATAAAGACGTATTGGGGCACTTTGCTTTGCAAAATTCAATGTCTAGTTTAAATAAAGAATTTAGTGGAGACAGACCATCATTTTTAATTAGGCGAAAAGGAGCTAACATTTAAACGGAGCACACAGGCATTCACAACCTTGGAAGTACTGAATCGAGTGTTAAGGTTGTGCCCTCCTGGAGGGCTGACCATTCCTTGGTTCAACATGTGGACTGTTGCACAATTCAATTGTTTTTAAACACATACAACAGTTACATTTTAGTGTAATCGCTCCTTTACAAGTTACATTTTACGGAACCAGACTGCATTTTTGTTCTGCCAACTGGACTTTCCTCCCAACACCCCCCACACACCCAAGCTCTTACCCACACTCAGGTTGTCAAGTTCTTTCTTGATACCACGTGACGGGATGTCGAAGGTCACATTGACGAGGGTCTCATTACCAGGTCCTGGCAACAGTGAGAAGCCCATGGCAAGATCTGATCTCGTCTGTGCATACCCATACCAATACGAAAAGGTCGCAAGGTACGTGGCACTGGTAGGTGAAGGCATACAGATAATGTCTATTAGCCTCAATACAGTAAACAAATATGCATACAAGCTGGGTGATCAAATATAACATTCAAATACACATTCCAAAACTTAATGCACTTAAAAAGTAACTGTGAATGTGTTGGCAATATTCCTGGCTGAAAGAATCTGGAATGGCAGTAACAAAAACATGCGTAATATGCATGTTACTTAGCCATCACGTATAAAACATACAAATCTGTAAAAATGCCCACACATGCCCAAGAGATATTTTGTGGATGTGCAGTGAATCACTTCAGAGACACTAATAGTAGGAGGCACTCTCGTTTATTATAGCCATCATAGGTACAGGGGATAACTATACTATGGTCAGGACAGCTAGCACACTGCCTGACCAACAATGCTGAGGAGGTGAAGGTGAGGACAAAGACGGGGATGAAGACTTAGTAGCACGACAGGTTCCATTCCAGACGACAGCCCCGACCCTGAGTTGGGGCTGTCGGGAAGAACTGTTCAGGTTTGGCGCGGCATCCTTTGGAGATGTGGCCCCACAGGCCACACTTAAAACAGGTGACGGGGGCCCTCCACAATGAAGGAAAGGTACCGCTCCGTTGTTCTCACTCCAGTTGCCGTCCCGTGGCGGCTCTCCTGCGTGGACTCTCGGCGAGCGAAGCAAAGACTTGAGGGGTCTTCTGACGCTCCAGTTCGTCCACTTCCCCGAGGGACCTGTACAGGTGGCCACCCTGGCTCGCCATCACAGGTTACAATGGGCCTGGATGCATCGAGCTACCTTGATTGAAGTCAGGTCGTCCTCCGTGGTAGGCAGAAAAACGTCCATTTCCTGGGCCAACGTCAACAGTCTGTCCAGCACCAGAGAGTCCAGGCCCACCTGCTCCATCTTTGGGTATGTGGCTTGGGCTAGTGACATCAGCGCGCTGCGAAAGGCAAGGGGCGTCTCGGCCTCCCCCCGTCTTCGCATCACAAACATTTGCCACGCATTGAACGGTGGATCAAAAATTACTGCCGTTTGGGTGTACACCTGTGACAGCGTCGCCCTGTCTGCTGTGGGAACAGCATAGAACGCCGCCATGGCGTCATCGTCCAGGGTGGTGGGAAGAGCTCGCAAGCGAACATGTAGCGGTGAAACGGCGCTGAAAGGCTGCCCAGTCGCCCCCCGCAGCTGCAAACTCTCTCACGAACGGCAGCCGCTTCTTGAGGGAAGGCACCTTTGGGCGAGATGTTGGCGGCAGGTCGAATTTGGCGGGAAACGATTCCCGCCCAATCGACAAAATGGTGGCCACTCGCGCGTCCCGGTGCTTCGTCGTTTTCCGCGCTTGTTCGGCGGCGATGGTGGGGCTGTCTGCTCGCTGCCCCCGAATCGCTGCGTCTTCCTCCGGCTCCTCCACCTCCAGCTGCACAACCAGCGCTGCCTCCGTGGACAGTAGGTCCGCGAGGCGTGCGTTGCGTACACGCCGTCCTCCTCCGGACGGGGGGCAGCACGGAGTTGTCGTTCCCCACCCGCTGCTCCGCCAGGATGGCCTCTTCGGGACCAGTTACCGGGGTGCTGAATTCCGAGGCTGTCTGGAGAAACACCTCAACATCGTCTTCTTTGTCCGAGGACGCTACGGTAAGAGCTTTCCTCCTCGTTGACTTTGACACTGTAAAGCAATCTTTAATTTCCCTATATATAAAATAAAGATATTTTTTGTTTAATCTTTAATGCGTCTGGCACCAAATGTAGTCAATCATTTCAGAGACACTAATAATAGGAGGCACTCTCGTTTATTCTAGCAATCACAGGTATAGGGAATACCTATACTATGGTCAGGACAGCTAGCACACTGCCTGACCAACAATGCTGAGGAGGTGAAGGTGAGGACAAAGACAGGGATGAAGACTTAGTAGCACGATAGGTTCCATTCCAGACGACAGCCCCGACCCTGAGTTGGGGCCTCCCTTAAATCCCCCCAGCGTGGCCTGGCTCTGCCCTCGGCCATGCCCCCTTCTGGAACCTACCAGAAGGTTCTGGGCTAGACCCCATGTGTCCCCTCGGTCACCTTTGCCCCACATCTCTTACGCCTATCACGTGCCCTGTTAGCCGGGTGGGCTGCTACGTCCTCATATGCCCCTTTCTGCAGCAACAAGCGCTATAGCACCCTAGTGACCCATTCCGTGGCATTGCATGCTCTGCTGGCAGAACGGCTGCTACACCTATTCTATGTCACTACATATGTAGTAGTTGGTAATTTGCATTGTAGGTAGTAAATTGGACTCATGAAGCATTTTTAGCCATCGTTCCACTTCTTTTTAAAGCATTCAATAAAGAATGAAACTAGAAATTAAAGAACATGCAAATTACCGAAAATACAACAAGAATTAAACATTGAATTAAAGAAGAACACACACATTCTTGAAAATACAACAAGTGCTGGAAGCATAAAATTCAGAAAAATTTGATGCTTGCAAAATCATACGCAAGATGGAACAATAACATGATAGAAACCATTTTTAAATAATTAAAGGATTTTAAGCAGCTATCCATAGAATCAATTTGTATTACACATCTAATGTAGCTCTCAGAGACACCGTCTTGTCTTCTTAAGAATAAAGTCCAATGACAACTCAACATGTAACCGCGAGTGACTCTGTATACTTGGGTAGTGACACAACTCTATTCTGAGACAACATAGCTTCCAATCTCAAGACAACTCGCAGACGATGGAGACGACCTGATTCAAGGCGACGGCGACAGCGGTTCCCCACACGAAGCAGCCCCAAGCCTCCACTCCTTGCCTGGTCCGGCCACGCCCTTATTCCCGAATTCTCCTCACAGCACCGCCCTTATTACACTTTCCCGCCATTGGATCCCATGCTCCCACTCATGTGACCCTGTCAATGCTTGTCTCATTAATCATCATTAGCTCGTCCATTAGTAACCATGGTCCCAGGGAACTATACTGTCCCGCTCTCGCTCCACACTGTCACTACACATATAATCCTGAGCAACATTTTTTTTCCAAATGAGGAAATGCTCTATCTGTCATATTTGAAGCAGTGACTACTGCCCTTTGCAGGATGAAAGAAGGAAGAAAACATGAATATGCATGAGGTCTTTAATGCTTTACAAAATTAATACATACAACCCGCTGACATGGATTAGAAACATGAACATTAAAGGAAATAATGGAACAATAAAGTTAAACGTGCATAATGGTGAAGTGTATTCTTGTAACGGTTCCTTTGTAAACTTCCAAAAACCATTTAACTCAGGAGGAATTGATGCAGTCATCATCCGTCATCATAGATCAAGGCATAACTTAACCATATAGAGATATAATAAACAAATAACATTTAAAAACGGAACAGCCACACGAAGATACGTGAAGAGAGAACCAAAATACACATTACGAGAGGAGTTGTAAAAGGTGGCATACTTTCGCCAAAGTCATTCACAGAAAAAATACAATGGTTTTTTTTCAATTGCATGGGAGAAACTAAGGGATAAATATGAAATGAGTACTTGTGAACTGTTACAGCTTTGCTGATACTCTATAGTCATTGGATCATTCAATGAAAATGAATTTTAGGATATTTAAAAAGAACTTAATAAGGCTACAAAAGTTTTGAAAAAAATAAGATCACGTACAATATATGCTGTGATAATATTTTGTCAGTGCAGACATAGATAAGTACAAACACAAATTTCCTCTAATTTTACTTGTGTTCATTCAAATACAAATGGGCAACAATTAACAGTTACAAAATATAATGGAAAGACAATAACATTTTATGGGCTCATGAAATACCAAAAAATTACATTCTTTTCAGAACCTCAATACATAATATATTACGTAAAAGTAACATTCTGAGTACTGTTTAATAGTAATATATATTTAGCAGAATTCAGAGCCCCTTTTTAACCCACTGCTGGATGAAGACCTCCCCATGGGGTGTTGGTCGTGAGGCTGTCTGAAAATACTTAACCACGATGGACACTGCCGGTTGGTGAATGGGTGACCCACAACGGGTTCAGATAACACTTGCTAGCGTTGTTAGGCCGGGATTCAAACTTAGGTCACTGTGTTCATAACAAAGTGCAGTAACCATTGAATTGTGGTTATCTCTTTAGTACTGCTTGTATAATGTTATTTTTTTTATGAAAAATACATATTAAGCATAAAAAATGCAAATCATGAAAAATACATATTCAGCATAAAACATATCATATCAAGACTGCCTTTAAAATGTAATTGCTTTCAACTATCTTTCGTGAGAAAGTTATGTTTACCAGGATATTCATGTGACACATTGAGAATCTTTTATTTATGTACTCACAGATTTGCTGAAATGTGAGTTTGATTAAATATACTTTTCAACAAAAAAACTTACCTTTGAGCAACAGTGGCTGTCAGCAGTAGAATAAAGAGCTTCATCTTGCATGCGTACACAAGAACCTAAAACAACAGCAGTAAAGAAGCTGAGCAACAGAGCCAAATTTTCACTTACATTATTTTAAACTATTTTCTTTATTTTATTTCCAGCATTTCAAGCCAGTGTGAATTTTGGGGGTGGAGTGAAGTTGCCGATCATGGATTAGGTATTGTGTCCTATGCATTAGGTTTTGTGGACATTTTTTCAGACTTGCAACTGGTTATGACATTTCGTGGTCTGCCTTGAAGGTAGTCTTGATTTGTTATACACCTCTTGATTTGTTATACACCTATTAGACACTTCTATCAGACACCTCTATTAGACACCTCTATTAGACACCTCTATTAGACACTTCTATTCAGCCCCTATAGCGTCAGGGGGCTGAACGGGGCCAAGCGCCCCTGCTGAACGCTCATCCCCCTTTCTAAATTCCTAGAGTGTAGCAATGTACATCACAGCTTTTCATCACATACATGGGGAAGAGAGCTAGATGAATGCACGGTAGACAAACTTTAATCATATCATTACCCATTGTGTCTCTTTTAAAATGTGTTCAAGATGTGTGTATAACATTGTCGTTGTTCCCTGTCTCCCCCACCCCTCAAGTGTGTGTATGCCCATACATTACAGGGTTGCCTCTATAGTTCAGTGAAATTCACCTGGAATCCCGGTCTTGATTTGCTGCAATCAGAAGAGCAGTGAATGAATCACTGCCCTGAGCATTTCCAGTGCCCACCTTTTTTGTATTTATATAGGGGTTACGGAATGAGGAAGCATAGACTCTGTTAGCTAACCAGCTTGGGTGATTGCACACGCTTAGGTTCCACAAATTGTTTACTCTTAAATATTTGTTATGCAAATTATATTTGAGACTTAAGAGTATGTTGCTACATCTTTAAAAAAATCATGAGAGTCACTGATTTCCTTTGATTTGGTAATACCATCCATAATTGCAGTATATTATCAGATCATTATTTTCTTTTAAATGCAGATGGAAAATGTGATGAGTTTTGCATTGTATTGCTACTTCTACATATGTTAACATGTATTGAAATGATAAAAAAAAACATATCAAATCCCTTTCACTATGAACATTGAACATTTCTGTAAGTGACAATTGACATCTAAGGTAATTGTGTTATGAATGTTACACATATTTCTTAATTTATCATTTACAGAAATAAATTATTAAAATAATTTATGTTGTTATCAGTGTTTTGGTTACTGCTTGAGTTGCTATCGTTGATCGTTTGTTTTTTGTTCTTTTTTGTCTCCCCCTCTGTCTCTTCTTCCCCTGTGGTTCTTTTCCATTTGTAAGTCATCTTAAATGGGCCCTGGTGTTTAAATGATTAATCAATGCAAGTCAGTTACATCACACTTTGTGCAGCAGTTCTGTCTGGTGGCACTGGTTGGAGTTCTTGACTTACACTTGAAAGGGTTTCTAAGTTTAAATTCCTGTCTATGTTCTACTCAGCTTATCAGCTCTTTGTCGTCAATAAAATTATAATTCACTTCATAGTCCTCTGGAATAGGAACTCCATTTGACAAGAGCTCTGCTTCATCGTTGTTTGGTCTTTGAAGCATGTTACCTTATATAGATATTAGTATGATGTCTTACTGACATCTGCTCAACGCTTTGGAATTTACATGGTTTGACGTTGGATGGTTGGGATTTTTTAACCAAAATCTTAGTGCTGATGCAAACTTTCCTAGGATGGCAGGAGGAACATACGATGGAAAATGTTGGTTTTCAGATTATTTCTAATTATAAACGTAGAAGTAATTATATGTGCCACATTTAAACTTTCTTGTTCTTCAAGAATATGAATAGAATAACTTTGTAAGAACCATTATTATGTAGTTTAACACGTAGGCTTTCGCAACCAATATCATCCATAATAGAGGTTTTTTTGGGTTAGATCACGTAAATATGACACAAACACCTCATGCATTTTAAATGTAACTATATTAATCACTATAATAATTATTTTGAGAGTAACTAATCTTCCATAGTAATATATTTCCATAGTAATCTCGACTCAGTGTGGGAGACTTAGTCAACACTATAGCAAAGACAATTCTCACATAGCTCATGTCCATCAATGGATATGGAGATATTCAGAGGCCTATTACAATGCACTGTATTTTGTGTGTTTGTTTTTTCTGTGGAAAGCTCATCCAATATAATAAAAAATGTCATCAACATATTCAAAATTATCTGGATGAAAAATCTGTGAAATTACTAAGTGTGATTCATTGCTAAGCAAATGAACAATATCGATTCAAAACGTACATTGTATTTTCTCTTCATAAAAATGTCAATTAACGTTTTAGCTAGTTAAGCCCCTTAACATTCTGCATTGAAGTATATTTGTATTGAAAATTTAGTTGCACCAAGCGAGGTGTTTGCTTGCTAAGCCACGGTTGCTACAGCTACTGTATAAATGTAGGTATTCAAATTCCCAAGTACAAAAGAGGTTGCATCAGGACGAATACATCACTACTTGTCCATACGTATAGTCGTTGGGTGCTTACTTCATTATTTCAATTTCTTTCATGACTCTGGAAACAAGGTCACTTTGCAAGTAAAATTATGAAGTGACTTCAAAACTATGGAAAAAAAACAATAGCCTTATAAGTCTACCTAAATGAAAATAAGACAAAAACATACTTTAGAATCACAAACTGTTGCTTACAGCAATTTTCTCAAACTGTTTTAACCAACGGACCACTTAGCTGATGCAACATTTTCACGGACCGCCCTGCTACTCAGCCCTGGTGACAAAACACATTACCTAACTTCATAAGTAAAATATTAATGTCCGAAACAAACAGTATGATTTCCAAATCAACCTGCATTTGCATCACAGCCCACGGACCACCTAGAGGACAGTCGTGGACCACGGGTAGTCCGGGGACTACACTTGGAGAACCACTAGCTGAGAGTCATTGTACTTTGTCCATATTCACTCTCTGCAGCTCAACGCTTGAAAATGTTTCCTTACACAAGTATGTCAGTAAACTGATTCGTTTCTCATCTTAACTTCAAATTTATAACTTATAGTTTTAATTATGAATCAAAAGGAACGTTTTATAGAATCAAATCTTGTTTCTCATCTTCTACATAAACACATTGAATGACTACTACCTTTATGCCTCTCATAGGCATTGCTTACATAAAACATAAATCATGCTTTAAAACCACTGGGTTTACCTAATACATTTTTAATCTGCTTCATGCTTTATCATACGAGCTTAATAATCTACTCATCACGGTTATCCTTACTCCAAGACTGGTTATTACTCACTTTCAATTCAGGGAGATTAATTGAACCACGTTCATTAATGCATACACACATAACCTCGGCCCTTACCTATTAAATTGTTGAGCCAGAACCAAAAATCTTAGTTTTTGATGCTACACAATACAGAATCAGAATATTTATTTATACTGTAGGATGAATTTGATGGGTCCAGTTGGGTCATGTCACAACCTTACAACAACAATCAATACAAAACACGATAGGCGTGCAATGCATAGGAAATGTAAACAAATCACTTAATATTAATAAAACTAAATAAAGTTTGTCATCTTACCAGGTAACGATCAATGAGCTATGAGATTTTTCAGAAGCGACCAGGCCACATATGATCACTCAACGAAATGTCTTATGTGTAAATGTATAGCAGCAAAATAATCGACATAATCTAAACGCATGTTTCTAAATGTGGAGGCAAAAACAGGACCCGAAGAAAAAATGCATGCGACCACGGGGAAAACATGCATATTACCAATATACAGGCGTCAGAGTTGGGATAAAACCCCCACACTCCTGCATACCAGGCAAGGAAGATAATATCACACAACCGTGGCACCCATTAAATAATAAAGTATATCATTTTATCTATTCCTAAGCTTCAAGGCAGTTAAACCAAAGCAAAAACAATCCCAAACCACAGCAAGACAACGTTGCAGTGTTCAGTTCGACATCACCAAGTCGAGTGTGACTACTTCTGGTTCATACTGGTGCACAGTATTAAGCTACAGAGTATACAAGACCCATCATGGATTTCCGTAGCACTGGTGTTGATACTCCCCATCTTGTCCTTGCCAGTTTTTAGACCAGGTTGACTCTTGTTTTGGTCTTTACGGCCACCTTGTTCAATTGGTCATGGAAGGTTAGTGTACAGTCCAGCTTCACTCCGAGATAGGTTGGAGTGGGGTCGTGTTGCACAGTGTTGCCGCAGAAGGTCACTTTCATAGTGCGCTTGGCGATCCTATTATCAAGATGAATTGCAGTGACCGTTGTATTGTGGGGATTTGGCTTGAGCCACCATTTCCAGAAATATTCCGTTATGGTGTTAGGTCTTTGTTCAGAGTTGATTCGATGTCATTGAAAGTGGCTGCTTGCGTTGCGAGGGCAAGGTAATCACATATACAATGTTGCATGACCCGGTTGGTGGCATGTCACTGGTGTAGACATTGAAGTGGTGGCGCGATTACTGAACCTTGTGACAAACCATTGTTGAACTTGAACAACCGGGGTGAGCTGACTTTGTCACCCATATAGACACGCAGTAGCCTATTGCTCAGCATCGTCTATATCAAGTCCTTAATCCAAACTATGTTGTAGGCCGATGACAAGTCCACAAAGGCCGTCTCGGATTTCTCCTATAATCCAACCTCATTGTGCGTCGCAAGGCCCACACCTTGGTCACAACAGCTGCGTCCAGGCTGAAATCCCGCTTGTTCTTCAGGGATCACTGATTCGACAAAAGGGCTGATTCTCTGTAGGATGATACATTCCAGGAAATTTATAGGTCGTGCACGGACGTAATATTGGCCTATAGCTTCCTGGATTGTCGGTTGGCTTGCCTGGTTTAGGTATTGCAATGACCATCGCATCCCACCATGCTTTTGGGATGTATGCGGTTTTCATGGTTTTGGTGTCAAGGTTTGCCACCCATTACAGTCCCCTAGGGCCTAAATGATGGAGGAATTCTGGGGGGACACAATTTCTGCCAGCAGCCTTGCCTGTCTTCGTTGCAGCCATACCTTCCCCCAATTCCTCTGTGCTGATGGAGTGGGGTCTTGTGAAGAAATTTAGGTCAATGTCTGGTGTAACTAGCAATGGATCTCTCGCAAAATGTTTTTTGTCAGGGGGTTCTTTCGTGTTATCCACGAGTTTGGAGGCTATATAATGGGCATACATTTTGTGGTCCAGTATTTTGTTGGATTAGCATCACCCATATGTCAGAGTGGGGCCCAGGCATGGATGGCTGATATGTGTGAATTCCAAGCTTTCACCGCACTGAATTCACCGCTTAAGTCTGGTTGGCCGCCACATTAGCGAGATGTTAACTACCTTGCCTGGTATACCGGAGGTTGTGGGTTTGATCCCGACCCTGACACCTATATATTTGGAGTTTGCATGTCTTCCCATGGCCGTGTTGATTATTTACCGGGTCCTCTGGTTTATCTCTCCAAATTTAGAAAAATGCGTTGAGAGTATTATACATTTCCACATGATAAGCCACGTCATTGAGCTATCATTTGTGGCCAGGTCGCCTGTGAAAAAGAGCTATGTAGCTCAGTGGGCTGTACCTGGTAAAGTTTAGTCTAGAGCAGGGGTCGGGAACCTTTTTGACTGGGAGAGCCATAAAAGCCAAATATTTCTAAATATATTTTTTTTGAGAGCCATATAGT